TAATCCCAGTGCTTTGGGAGGCCAAGCAGGGAGGATTTCTTGAGACCAGGCATTTGAGACCCTTTCTCTACAAAAAAAAAACTTTCTAATTAGCCAGGCATGATGGTACTTGCCTATAGTCCTGGCTACTCAGGAGGCTGAGGCAGGAGGATCATTTGAGATCAGGAATTTTAGGCTGCAGTGAGCTATGATTACACCACTGTGCTTCTGCCTGGGCAACAGAGTGAGACCCTGTTTCTAAAATAATAATAATAAATTTTTTAAAAAAGATTTTTTAGTGATTATTATGATCTTTTTACCCTCCTCCAAAAGTGTGATTTGCTTCAGATGTGAAATTGTGTGCAGTCAACATGTTAGCTTATCATATGCTGTTCCTTGATGTATTTCTACAAAATAGAGGTTCCACTTTAATTTCAGGATGGTTTTTCCACATGACTCTTTTTTTCTTCCTCTCTAGACTTCTCCAGAGAACCTTGGAACAGTAGGTGGAGTGCAAAGCTGCATTGTGTACCTTCCTGCTTTTTTTTGTTGCTTTCCTGCTGGGTTTTTTTTTTTTTTTTCTTTATAAATTCTTGGCCCTGCCTTGGCTCTCCTTTCTCTGCCATTAAAACTAACTAAACCCTGCATGTGTGGTCACTATGAGGGGTTCATGGCCTTTTATTTCAATTCTGCACATGTATCATGTCAGTTATGTTTTGTGTCAAATCCTTAATATTATTATTATTTTTGTTTTTGTTTTTGAGACAGGCTCTCACTCTGTTGCCCAGGCTGGAGTACAGTGGCGTAATCACGGCCCACTGCAGCATTGACCTCCCGGGCTCAAGTCATCCTCCCACCTCAGCCTCCTGAGTAGTTGGGACTACAGGTGCACACCACCATGCCCGGCTAATTTTTGTTTTTGTATTTGTTGTAGAGACAGGGTTTCACCTTATTGCCCTAGTTGGTCTCAAGCTTCTGAGCTTAAGCGATCTACCTGCTTCAGCCTCCCAAAGTGCTGGGATTACAGAAATGAGCCACTGTGCCTAGCCTATAATAGTCTCTAAAGCACTATTATGGTAGGCAAATTGGAATCTCACCTCTGCTTTCTGAAAATATTTCGCTCCAATTTAATGCACCCACTTTCTAATGCTTCTGCACCTTCCAGTACCTAGGGTCCTTTTTGTGAAGGGAGAAAATAATTTGATGAGCAGATATAAGTAAGGTATTAACAATTAATGTGTTACCTCTCCCTGAACTATTTATATCCTGAAAAGGTCAGGGAAAAGGCAATGTTTAATAGAGAAAATGACTCACTTACTAATGAGGCAGGAATTCCCTGCCTCAATAAGGCAAGATCTCATGCATTTGGTAAGACATCCACATTTTGTATACATGCACCTTTAAAAGATTTTGAGCTGGCTCTGATCATTGCACCAGATTTTGTCCTAAAAATGATATCAGCTTGGTTTGGTTCCTTTTCCTCCTTAGTAATTTATCTGTTAATGGATTTTGATGTTTAGTGTCCATGTGATATCCAGGAGTCTGTCTGTCTGCATGATTGTTTATCATTGCTCCGATCCTTTCCAACTACCACAGGAAGAGAGGGGAAGGGGCATTTTAGAGATTATGCTGAAATAATATATTTGCTTCCTTCCCTCTCTTCTCTCCATGTAACAGAGGAAGCAGATCAGCCCGCTACAGAGCCAGGCATGGTCATGGACAGTGTGGAAGCAGGAGACACAACACCTCCTACCAAAAGGAAGAGTAAGTTCTCAGGCTTTGGCAAGATCTTCAAGCCCTGGAAATGGAGGAAAAAAAAAAGTAGTGATAAATTTAAAGAGACTTCAGAAGGTGAGATATTAAGGGTTAAATGTGTGTTCTGAGTTAGAGTTCTCTATGTTAGAAGTATTTAATTTTTCCTCATCTTACCGAGTTTCTGTAGTCCTTTATTTGAAGAGGGTGTTTAATCTTTTATTCTTTTCTTTTTTTTTTTTTTTTTTTTTTTTGTGATGAGACAGGATCTCCCTCTGTTGCCCAGGCTGGAGTACAGTGGCGCAGTCACAGCTCACTGAATATTCAACCTCCTGGGCTCATGCAATCCTCCTGCCTCAGCCTCCCAAGTAGCTGGAAGTACAAGCATGAGCTACTGTGCCCAGTTAATTTTTAAATATTTTGTAGAGACGGGGTCTCCTTATGTTTCCCAGGCTGGTCTTGAACTCCTGGGCTCAAGCGATGCTCCCACCTCAGCCTTCCAAAGTGCTGGGATTACAAGCGTGAGCCACTGTGGCTGGCCAGAGTTTAATCTTTTAGAATTAAACATCAAAATGGTCATTTACTAAAGCTAATATTGTATACCCTTATCCCCAGGTTTGTATTTTGATGGGATATACGTATCTATTGAGTGGTGAATGGAGTTCCTGAACTGTAGCAAATCTAAGATGCTTCTTTCCATCAGAACTTGGTGAAGAAAATGATTAAATGAATTAATACATACATAAATAAAATGCTTATTTTTTTTCCTACTCTGCCCATCCACACAAAGTTCATCCATAAATAACTTACTAATGAAATTTTCTCTTAAGTTACAATTATGTAAGGCTAGTTTTTTGGAAGTGATGCTTTCCTGATAGCACAGGTTATAAAAGAAATGTAAGATTTTTTTTTTTTTTT